ATATATGGGAATCGACTCATTATATCTTATATAAGGATCTGATATATGTTCAATATCTTGCTACAATATTTCCATATATGGAATTTCCTATGTTAAAGCATTTTAACACGATATTCATACACGTCTATAACTAAGTTCTATTAAACTATGCAATCTAAAACTTTAGATTCGAAAAGAAGTACGAGTGCCCTCTCCATTGAGTCTACTACAAAGAAACAATTCCCAAACTTTGCAATTTACAAATTGAAAACTTCGTTCCCTACGAATAGTTTTGTCAATATACAATACTAGCATAACAATTATGCTCCCACTAGCTTTGACATGTACCCAAAAATAAACTGGACTTCCAGAAATCAATACTCTTGACTTTCTTACTGAAGTGCCTATTTTTGTTACGCGATGCTTCGATAAGTCTCCAACTACACTTCTTAAGCTTATAAACCATAATTGGATAGCATATGTGTGTGCTTAAACCCTTCAAGACTGATAGATATATCTTTTAAATGTTCACACATTTCTTTGCCATTGCTAACTATTAGATATATGAAGAGGGATGTCATAATCATATTGTGAATTTGAGAATGCAATTAACAGAACTAGTATCTGTATTGATCTTTATCAAATCTTAGAATCTATCCGGAAAAGTATTTCGTCACAATCATTGTCATGATTTATAGCGAACACATTGTCACCTAGATTTTATTGTGCATACTTTCCCACCAATATGAATCTATCATTTCCAACCAACAATCATAAGACAAGGTTTACGACAAAACTAAATTCAAATTTAGCATTCCTTCATGGACTGAACTTCGTTATTCTAAATTTCTTTCTCGCTGGTAGCACAAGGACTTACCAGTGCTTCCATGTAATTAGCAAGTCACCCATATTGATCAATGCAGTCTCACTGACCAACATGCTTTGCTTTTGTAGTTAAATGAAAACATAGAACTCATAAGCATTTCCAACTCAACGAGAAGTGTATAGATATAAGAATGTGTCAACCAAACACGATAGCTTATCAACCTCAGGTCACGTGCTATTGATAACTAAATCGTTTATTTTCGGTTGACTCTTGAAACTTTAAAGATTAATACGACTCTCACTGACTTCTTATCTTATAAAGCAATCATTTTTCCTTGAACCTCATGCATTTGAAACTCCCAAGACTATTCAACTTATACAAATTAATTTATGATTAATTGAAATATTGTGATTTGTAACTCTCAAAACTCTTCAAATCATGTTATTTAATTGATGAGTTAAATGAAATATTTAGCATATATATGAAATTTGTAGATTACATATGCATGTATGTCAACAAAAAATTATAGATTATATTTGTATGGTTTGAAGATTTATATAAGCGGTTCCATGGATGTAAGAAAGCAATTACAACTTTCCCAAATATAAATTCATGTAAACTCAAATTGGGTGCATGTAAAGTTTTAGATATTAACCAAGGTTCAAATTTAGGTATCTTTGTAAAGGTATACTTGAGATCATTTTTTAAGTTTATGTGTTATGCATCTTTCTATAATCACAGGATGATGAAGTGGGGCTGATGATTATTTATCATGAGCTTTTGGTTAATCAACATTCAAGCTATTTATGAATTAGAGCAATTTACTTTGTTAACATATATGTATATTTACATTATTCAACATATATTTAATGTTATTATAAGTTATATATTATGTTAGTTTATATCGCTTATTTTGTTGTAAATAACATCGATTTAGTTTTTTATAATTGATCTTGATGAAAGGAGTTTACAATTATTATTCCAAAGATAATGACTTATTAGAACGAATGATTTTTAATATAATATGACGTTATTGTTGAAAACCAATGATTATGTGCGTTATAAAAATGAATTCTTTATGTTCTACCAAAACTTATATGGATGTCTACATTTTAAATGTTTTTATATTAATAAAAATAGATTATTATGTTATTACATTTGTCAATTTCCTTTTTCCATATTCGTTCTTTATCGTGAGAGAAAAGTAAAATAAAAAAATATTAATTTTTTCCTAAGAAAATATAAGTATTAAAATATACCTCAAGTGTAACACTCCTTCTCCCTAACCCACTCTTAACATATATTTTTTTAAAGATTGGTCGCAATACATAACGATTACTATAGTTTTGATATTCAAATCACCATTTTATTTGGACCGTTCATTATCTCTCAATATTTCATAGTTTTAAGGATAAAAATAAAAGTACAATACAGAAGTAGTTTTTTTTTAAATATAATAATGAAAATTTTTCAATAAGTAGTGTTTAATTAAGTAAAAAATAATAATTGTTTAAAATAACGTAAAACTAAAGAGTAGATTATATTATATTAAAAAAAATTATTTGTAAAATAATAATAATAATAATAATAATAATAATAATAATAATAATAATAATAATATTGTCAGGGTGCAAAGTCACTCTTGGATGTCATGTGTGCTTACTCCTTTGTATGTGTATAATGAGTTGTCTTTCCTTTATAAGGAAGTAAGTGACACTTATTTTATGTAAGGAACTTTATGAGAGATTAGTTTAGAGAGAGAATTATTGCAAACTCATTTGTACTCTTTGTAAAAACTAATGAGAGCTTAAACGAGATTTATTTACTCTTGTATTCTTCATGTTCATGATTCTTGTATGATTCACTAAATCATTTCATATTCCACATTCGTCATCATAATCAACACCACTACAATTGGTATCAGAGCGGGTGTTCTTGATTTTCTCAAGAATTGATCCATGATGACATTTTTGATTTGGTGATTCTTCATTGCTATCTGATCTTCGTGTTTTAGAGAGTTTTTGGATTTTAGAAATCAAATGGTTCCTTGATTCAATTCATAATTCGATTTTCTTCACTAGAATTCAAGTGATTTTTGCTTTCTCTCTCTAGAAACTCATTCAAAATCACTCTCTTTCTAGAAAAACCCAAGATCTTATCAATTGATCTGAAATGGAAGAAGCAATTATGGAGAAATGGTTGACACATAATGAAGATTATCTAGGTGAATACACCTTTGAAAAGCTTCTTTATTACTTGACTGTTGGATTGAAAAGTGAAAATACACTCCTTTCAAATGGAGAAAAGAATGAGGTTAGAGATTTAATTAGTCATCCACTTTATCATAACAAAGATTTCTTTGAATGATTGATTACAACGTATCAAAAGAGATGAAGAAATATGAAAGAAGGTGAAGTCATAAAAAGAATTCCTCTTACTGAATGTAAATATGGATGTAATACCCTTGAATTTTATGCAGATTATCGTGAAGCTCATGAACATGTTCTTGATGATGTTCATCGTGTTATTTATGTTCTTTATGTTCAAGAAAAAGGAGTTCAATTTGATTCTCATGAAGATGAAAAAGTTTTTTGCTCAACTGGAGTTCAAACCGATGATATTTTGTGTTCTTGTGGTTCATTTGAAGGAATGATTCCTTATCGAAAACCATCAATCTAAGATATTCAAAAATATCAAACTCCAAAAGATATGATCCAAACTTGTCAAGTTGAAGTCCTGGGAAGTGTTTTTGTTAATGAATTCAAATCTTCAAGATGCAAAAAGATGAGAAAAAAAAGAAGATCAAACGTAAGACCAAGTGGGTTTATTCTCAAAAATCGTCAAATGTTGTTGTGAAGCCGAAATCCGTGAACAAAATTTGGGTTCCAAAGCAACAATCTCCAAATGTTGCAATGAATTTGAATTCAAAACCCAAAAGTTTTGATGGTTCTTATGAATATGGTGTTAGATTGTTGAAGAACACGAAGAATGGGTTGTACAACACGCATCATGGGTGGTACAATCTTCGATTTGGTGATTTCCTTGTTCCAACTAAAGAACCAAGATCATCAATGGTTGATTCGTGTGTTGCAAACGGAGAACGAATCATCAAAAAGGTATCTCAAATTCTCAAATGGATTCCAAAACGTTCTTGATTACGGTTCGTGCTTTTCGTTTTTCATTTTTGATCGCTTTGTTTCATTGGATCAAATCTGTTTCAACCCCATTGAATGATCCAATTATTTTTGTTTAGATCAAGCACAAAATCATGAAGTTTATTGTTTAGTTTCGAAGCCCATTTAATATCAATCCTTTGATTACTGATTTGAGCCCAAACATTTTCTATTTGTTTCATATTTTTTCTTGCCCAAATCATAAGTCTGATACTGTTCATCTGAATTGAGTTAGTATTTATAAAATTAGTCCGATACTTCGTCTTTGGTAAATCGTAATTCTCGTTTCACTGTTTTTCATCGGAGTCAAGTGCTTAAAGTCAAAATCGATGTTTGTAGTCAAACTTGAAATTTCGAACTTACTTTGATCGAACACATTTTTGAATTCACTACTAGAAAAACAGCCTTTTACGACGCGCAAACCATGACACACACTTATTTATGATACGCTAAAGTGTGCGTCCTAAAAATAATGTCATCTCTCACAAAATTTGAAGGATCAAGGACACGCATTTTTGCGTGCCCTAAAATTAGTGTCTTAACAAAAAAAATTAAAAACACGGAGGATGCTTATCTTAAGCGTGTGTCCTCTATAGATGTCGTTTTATAATTTTACTCAAACGCACGTCTCTTATAACAAAATCATAGGGACCGATATTGATATTAATTCTAGGGCTTTTTTAAGACTCAAAACACTCGCTCACTCAGTGCTCTCTACCATCGATCCGGCGACCTCGCCTCGCTTCCGGAAACCCCTTGCTCACTTCTCCTCATCGACGATCTCATGCTCACCTGACCTCAAATTCCTTTGTTTCCATCTTTTGCAGAAAACCAAAATACACGCTCACCCCATTTTTGATGCTCAGAAACGAAAAAGGGCAAGCGCTTTGGTATTTGAGAAGATGTATTTTGGGGAAATAGGGCATTTTGGTTCTACGTGCTCTTATAACCCTGGGAATCAAGAACCATGTATTCTCACACAGGATTCATAGTTGAAGTCTACTTGAGAGAAAAGTGTACGGATGAGCCTAATGGGTCGGGGAATGGCAGACGAAGCGCTAGTCCTTCTTCGTATAAGACTATGTGATCTCAATTTCATCTTCTTCCTCTTCTCCGATTCTCCCGACAGCAACTACAGGTTTGGTTGATGGTTATTCAAATTTTCTATATATCTTCCAATTATGTATACGTGAATATTATTATCTCTTTTTTTCTCATCCTCCATTGTGACGTATTTAATCTTTGAACATATTTCAGCAAGTTGAAATTTATCGTATCAAATTCGGTAACTGAGGCTGTAACAATTCGATACTGCTTCTGGGTCCTCGAGGATGCAAAAAAATTGCGGTATAATACCCAGTTTCTGTGTTAATTACTTGGATTTTTTTTATAGTATTTACTGTGATTTCATTGTGTCATTGATTATGGAATTAGGTGTTGGATCTTGTTCTAGAGGATTTGCTGAAAGAATATCCTGAAATGATCTTAGTGGTATATATATATATATATATATATATATATATATATATATATATATATATATATATGTTTTTATCTATTTAAATATTTTGTTTTTGTCTATTATTATTTTTTTTCTCTATATCTGTTGTGATATCAGGCACAATAGCTGACCTAAAAGAGCATCTCCTCCCACCAAAACCTACATCAGCTATAAACCTTAGAGATGCATCATAACAACTGATGAAGTTTTGCTTTTGAATTCTCTTGATAGCTATGTGTTACAATATGTGGTGGAATTACAAAGACGATTGAAAGTTGCAGGGGTTGGTGAGGTGTGGCAATCTGAAGGGGCAGAGTTGAACAGACGAATGGGAAATTCAAATAGGTCCTTAGGGGACCTGTGTATGGTTTGTAGGGTTTTTTAAGACTACCTTCCTTGAAAGGGGTGTTCTTTCTTCTTCAAAGGTACTTTTTTGGTCTGTTTATATATGCCCATTTACATGTTCATACGGATTCTATCTTTTCTACTTTCATCAATAGATTATGCATATACAGTATAGAGGTCTTTCACTCTCTTCTTGTAGTTATATATTCCTGATTTCTAAAACAAAAGAAGTTATTTCATCATTTTATCTGCAAGAAGTACATAAGAATATTCCATAGAACAACATGGCAGAGCTTATTTCTCGATCGCCTTTATCAGGTTGGCCATACTACAAGAGATCTAGAGAGAAATCGAGAGAGAGGAGAGAGAGAGAGAGAGAGAGAGAGAGTGTGTGTGTGTGTGTGTAAAAAAATTAATGAAAAGAAAACTATCTACAGTGTGCAATTTCTTGTGTTGTTTATTAAAAGTTTAAGAGATATAAAGTTGATTCATTTGCAATAAAATGATCTGTTCGTGGTTGGAAAACAAAAGAAATTGCAAACTTTGATTCATTCTTTTGAATTCACTCTTTGTTGCTTTGTAATTACACTCGAAATTTATTTTCTTTCCTACGAGTGAGTAGTTCAGGAAGATATTCAAAACCTTTTTTTTCATTTAATTAACCTTGATCTGCGTTTAGATGACTTAGAAATTTAGGGATGATGACCAATTATATTGGGATATTCAAAACCTTTTGTTTGGTAACACTTCACCTGACTACTTTCAACTATCTGTTATATTGGGATATTCAAAACCTCTTGAGGCTGTTTGTACATTTCTGTTGGTGGTGATTCAGCTCGTAACAGCAGTAGAGCTTCACGAGCACTTGTAAAGGATAGGTTTGTCTTTTCAACTATCTGTTATATCTTTAAAAATGAATTAAAAAAATTGGTTGATATATAAATTGAAATGTGGCGGTTTAACTTTAGGTTGAAGATCTTCAATGGTCAGTTTGAAGAGCTTCATCAAAGACAATCTCAATGGACCGTTCCTGACACAGAGCTAAGAGAATCTCTCAGACTTGCAGTTGTTGAAGTCTTGTTGCCTGCATACAGATCTTTCATTAAATGTTTTGGGTACATATTTTTTATGTGATCTATCTCAATTCTCAGGCTCAAATAAATGAAAAAAAAAGTAAATAAATATTTTGTTTTCTGTTTTTTACAATTACAGAGCACTTGTTGAGAATGGGAAAAATCCCGATAAGTATATAAGGTATTCAGCAGAGGATCTTGACCGGATGCTTTGTGAATTTTTCAAGGGTAAGACTTTGAACGAAGCAAGACGATAGAGATAGAAAGATGCTGAATTACTCTTTTACCCTAGTGGTATGTTAGTGTATCATGTAGCCTAAAAGGGCATGGCATGCACGTTATTTTTGTATGTATTGGGGTAATAAGGATATGGGTATGCTAAAAAGTTAAAGAAAAGAAAATGCTGAAACTTTGATTAATTTTTGTTTCTTGGTTGGTGTTGTTAGTTAGTATGTTACCAGCTGGTCATTATTCATGAAAGGTCTATACTTTATAACAAATAACATGAAATACATGTTTTGGAGCTTGAATTCCAAGGTGTCAACATTTCATTTTTTTTTAATATCAGTTGCCCTATTTTTCTATACTTGATACACCTTTTATTTTCATACTTGGCATGTACGTACTCCAAGGCATGTTGCTCCCAAGCTTGTTGTTGATACCCTCTTCTTACTGGACATGTAAGTTTCAAATCTTTTATATTATTGAAGATTAGTCCCTGGTTGCATGTTTTTGTAATTTTTTTTATTTTTTATTTTTTTTATGTCAGCGTATCCTTGATGCCCTTTTCCCTTCGGTGCTTGGTGGCACATGTGCCATTCTTGGTGCCTTTGGTTGTGGGAAAACTGTTATTAGTCAAGCTATATCCAAGGTATATTATTTTTTCATGTACTTGGTCTAATGTATCAAATAGTGGGACAACCACACAAAGGTAAAATCTTGATGACTTGATTCTTCCCCATTCTTTCCTTATTTATATGTTAACGTTGCACTTAATATTCTAATTCATAAGTTATGGTAGTCTCCATAATTCGGTCCATTTTTTTCAAATGTCTTGATCCTTCGTGTGTCATTGCAAAATTAATCAATTCCTATAAATAAAAAGTTGCACCGAGTCAACCGGGTACCCGCCTTAGTACATCGAAGCCTCCGTCATTTTAGATTTTTTTTAATAAAAGAGAGAGAGAGAGAGAGAGAGAGAGAGAGAGAGAGAGAGAAACAATACTTCTACAAGTAATCTGGAATGAGACACTTGTTGGACACCTGCTATTAGTAAGTTCATTGTAGCATCTGCACTACTACTGATCTACAAACATGCAATAAATATGACAATAATAAAAAATTAAAACTAATATAACAATGCTTCATGGAGCATTTATTTCTTGAAATCAGAATAATCAGTTATAAATAAATTTATATAAGTGTTAGAAATGCAATGCATACCAGGTATTTGAGGCGGAAAAAGTGAATATAAAGAATAGGGATAATATGCATCTTCTCCTTTTCTGCTGTCATTTTGAGTGCTTTTTTATAAATGTCCAAAGCTGTATCCAAATTTCCCTGTTTATTATAAAATATAAACAGTCAGTTTTTTGCTACAAATGCAAATAAAATAATAGTCATGATTGATGATTGATTGTGTTTACCATACGTTTCTCCATATTAGCCTCTTTTATTGCGGTTTCAATGAAAGATGAATTATATTCAGAAGTATCACAAAGCTGAAATACAGCACGAGCTCCTTCAATATCTCCTATTTTCTCTCTATATCATGCATTGAAAATATGCACCTCTGATACATCCTTTATAACAAAATATATACAAGAAATGTGAAAAGATTTCTAATCCTTATAAAATTAAACTTAGTTTGCATCTGATGTATATTTATGTTTGGTTTATAAATCTGCCAAAGGAATTGGATTTTGAAATATAAACAAGAGTAAATTACATGAATGGTCCCTATAGTTTGGGGTAATTTATGTGGTGATAAAGATATTGAAAGGCCAGATTTGCTTTCTTTGGTTCAAACTCATCATGCACAGGTGCACGCATTATTACATATTTATCCTCCTACACTCGATGGGTGGATTGCTAGTATCATGTTTCATATCACTCCATTTTGATGTATGCACATACAACCATTGAATGTCTTTTACCTGTTTATCACACAAATATGTTGTAGTAACATGAAGAACCTAACTTGTGATCTACTTGCTTGCTATGAGCTGCTATAGTGATGTCAGCATCAGTTTCTCTATGAGCTTTGAAAAATCTCTCATAAACCATTCGGTATAAATGATCTCCAGCAAGGATTAGGTACTCTAGAACATTGTTCTCTTCAAATAGCCACAAATACTGCCTCACTGCATCAGCAATCCCCTGTAACAAATTGAACATAAATAGTTTCATGTAATTTTTACGTGTTTTGAAATCACAGATACATCTATTGATTGTTCATTAATTACCTGGAACCAGTTTGGATTTTCTGTGCTTTGCATAAGCACGTGACAGGTGGCAATTGAGTGATGCAGAGTTGGACTGTGTAAGAACATAAATCTTTTTGTATTTTTCTTTTTGTTCTTTGTTCTGATACTGTTTTTCAAGTTGGCAGAAGTTTGACTCGTTCAAACCTGAGATTGGATCATTGGGTCTTAGAGGAAGAGAGGTGACAATTAAAGATCCTGTAACTAGTATTCATGCTTTGTAAGTTATAATCTATATGCATTTTTTTAAAAGTATTTGATAAAATGTAATAATATTTTGTCTCCTAATAATTTCTCCAGCCTCTGCTAATCCAATGTCGCTTGTTTAATGATGGTTCTGCTGTAAAAGGCACTCTTCTTGTCAATAAGAGGGTAAAATTTGAGATATTTCTTGCAACACTTATGCCATGATGACTCCTTGTCCAAAGCTGGTATTTATTCTAATTACAACACTTTTCTTTTTGAGATGCTTAATAATGAAAATTAAATATACCATTTGATTAATTTAGGTAAAAGTATGTTGCATGTGATGTCTTGTTACTTGTTAGTTTACATTGAATCCTTTGTTTGAACTTGAGGAACTGTTTTGCTGGTAATTCATTGCAGCATTACATTTAGGGGGGATTCTCATTAATTTAATCATACATGATAGTGAGGGAAAAATATTGAGAGTATTATTATTTAACACTAATGACAACTTGACTTGGAGAAAGTGTGGTATTATGGTCGTACATTTGTTTTTTTTATTGTTACTTGTTACTTGTGTTGCTGAACAAATGTTACACTTTGCTTTTTCTCACATTGATTTCTTTTTCTCACATTTTGTTTTATCTTATTCTTAATGTATAAATGGTTTTAGAAAGAAGGTCATACATACATACATAGAATAGAAAGTGTTGCTTTTTTTGGGAAAGTAGCATTATTTCACTCTTTCATATTAACTTTTATAATCTACATGTGTATTAAATTTTAATATTTCATACAGGTATGGGTTGTATTGAAGCTTGGATTCTTGGAAAAATGTATGTTACTACATGTCTATTAAATTTTAATATTTTATAACATAGATTGATGATGCTTGAAGCCTTTCTGAATACTAATGTGTTGATGATGAAAACAGGTTTCATGTGGAAATAAAAGCATAACAATAAGCAGAAACAAGAAGGTGTTCCTTAATAGCAATGTAGTATTAGGTTATATACTTAGGGAAAACCTCTTAATAACAATGTACAATCGGATCCCCTTAATACCAATGTATTACAAATTTTTGACATGATGTTTTGGATGAAATTGATTGTTTTGGTATATATTTGTTTCCATATTTTTTTATTATGCGTAAATGAGTATCATAAAGATGCGTCGTAAATGCATATCGTAAATGGTTGCTGAAGTTTATGACACGCAAATGCATGTCATCTTCATTTATGACAGGGGCTTTAATGATACGCAATGCGTGTGCTAAACACGCGTCGTAAGGTTACGACACGCAAATGTGTGTCGTCTTCCTTTATGACAGGGGCTTCCTTGATACGCATTGCGCGTCGTAAATTTGTGTCATAAATGCGCGTCGTCTATAGACGACGGGTAAAAGCGTGTCGTCTCTCGTTATGATAGCGCCTTCCTTGACACGCATTTGCGCATCGTCTGAGCGTTTTACAACACGCATTGCGCGTCGTAAAAGGCTGTTTTTCTAGTAGTGATTAGATTTCGATGGAGTAGAATTTGACTGATGTAAATTAATTTCGATTTCTTCTTATTTAAAGTCGTTCGAATCGACTGTTGATTACTCTTTGGGATCGAATGGTTTGGATTTAAATAGAAATTGTAAACATTTAAGATCGATGTCAAGGTTGAATGATCGATGAAGGCTGAGTCTTGGAGTCTGCTTGATAACGAAAGGGTCCTAATCGATTTCAAAAGATCAATTTCTAAGGGTTGATTTTGATGGCTTGAAATGGGTAAATCGAATGGGTCATATGAGAATCGAGTTTGAGTAACTAAAAATGAAGTCGAAGTTTTGGGAATAAGGATTGTGAAGGTTTAATATCGGATGGGATATTGACAATGATGGATTGAAAACGAATAGTTATGTTGACAATTGAAGGTTTGAATCAACATCGACAAGAAGATGGGTCGAGTGATTGGAAGTCAAAAACATATTCGACATGTGAACTGGGGATGAAAACGTATTCTATCGATTGGGAAGGTTGAATAGATTTCGAATAATTGGAATGGGGATGTTGTTTCGAAGGGTTAGTATCAAGTTTTGGTGGATGTCAACTGACTTCGCTATGGATCATTAGTGTATGGATGATTTCACAAGCTTCGCTATTTGGCTAATTGTTTTAGAAGTCAAATTCACTTCCTTATGGGATGATTGAATTTAGAGACTTCGCTATGGGAGGTTCTATTTGAATGATGGAAAGCGAAGTGGCAGTTAAAACGAGTTTGCTGTGTGACATCGCGTTGGTTATGTGATTTCGAAATGGGTCAATTGGGATCGTATGAAAAGTTTAGAAATTGAAAGCTTCGAAATGGGAGGATCGACTGGGTTTGACATGGGTATCGACATGGTCCCTGATGTTATCTGATTTCGAAATGCAGGTGAAGAAGAAACCAAACATGTCGATTCGAATCCCTGATCTTTCTAAGAAGTGGCAAAACATACCCAACTTCGAAATGGGGACAAATTTTGTGAAGAATGAAGGAGTTTAATTTTATGACAACTATCCAAATTCGAGAAAGTTCTAGGTTTGAATAAACATATTTGCACG